CAACCCTGATGTCAGTCCTGTTTTATAACAGTGGCATTATGAAGTATTTGTCCTTTTGTGACTGAGATATTTCGCTCAGCATAATATCCTCCAGGGTCACCCATTTTGTATAATATTTCATGCGTTTCTTCTTTTCCGATGCTGCATAGTATTCCATTGTGTGGCTATACCACAGCTTTATCCATTCATTTGTTGATGGGCACTTGGGTTGTCTGTATCTCTTTGGTATTGTGAACAACACAGCAATAAACATGTGTAAGCATCTGATTGACAATTTTTTTAACTAACAGATACAACCTTGGATGTGCTCATCAGTCTTTGCTGGGAATTTTGGAGAGCAGCTGACTGGAGGAGGTCTATATTTGTTCCCATTCCCAAGAAAGGTGATCTAACAGAATGTGGAAATTATCAAATAATATTACTTATATCACAGGCAAGCAGAATATCGCTGAAGTTGTTTGTTGTTGTTATGTGCCGTCAAGTTGCCTGTGTCCCATAGTGACCTATGTACAGCAGCTCTGAAGCCTGCCCTGTCCTGAGCCAGTCTCACTAATTATGACACACCAACCCCCATTGCCATTGCCCCAGTTACTGTATCAATCCATCTCATCCAGGGTCTTCCTCTCCTGCGCTCCCTCCACCCTTCCAAATATGGTGTTCTTCTCTAAGGACCGGTCTCTCCTGGCCACGTGCCCAAAGTATGTGAGACAAAGCTTCAAAATCCTAGCTTCCAAGGAGAAACTTGGTTTCACCCTCTCCAAGGCACAAGACAGACCTATTTGTTTTCTTGGCAGTTCTTGGTATGTTTAAGACTCTTCTTCAGCAACTCAGTTCAAAGGCATCGATTATGATTCTGTCATCCTTAGTTTGTCCAGCTCTCTGATGCATAGCAAGTAATTGTGAAGACCATGGCTTGGATTAGGTGCACCTTAGTATTTAGACTGACATAGTTTCTTTTCAGCACTCTGGAGAGGTCCCTGAGGGCAGATTTTTCCAATACAATTCGTCTTTAGATTTCCTGACTGCTGTTGATTGTGGAACCAAGCACACTCTAGTTGTTAATAACCTCAATCTCTTCTCCAGTGGCCCAGTGGTGAGAATCTTTATCTTCTTTTTTTTTAAAAATTGTATTAGTTTTAATGAACATTTACAGAGATTTTGGGTTCTCATTCATTCATTGTTGATATCTTCTTGATGTTACACTTCAATTCATATTGAAGACTTGAACTTCTGCAGCAAGAGCTTCAGGTCTTTAGTTTCAGCAAGCAAGATTTTGTCATCTGTATAATGTAGGTTGTTGATGAGTCTACCTCCAATCTTGATGCTACACTCTTCCTCATAAAAGCCCTGCTTCTCAGATGATCTGTTCTGCATATAGATTGAAAAGATTTGAAGACAGGATGCATCCCTGACTCAATCCTTCCCTGATTTTGAACCATGCAATGCTTTCCTGCTCTGTTCTGAAGACTGCCTCCTGGTCCAAGTGTACGTTTTATATAAGCACAATCAAGTGTTCTGCAATTCCCATTTTCCTCGAGGAAACAGTTTGTTGTGATCCACACAGTCAAATGCCTTTGCATAGTCAGTGAAACAGAGATAAATGTTCCTCCTCCTGCTTTTGACCAAGATCCATCTGACATTTTGCCATGACCTCTTCTTAACCCAGCTTGTATTTCTGGTAGTTCTCTGTCAATGTACTGTTCCAGTCATTTCTAGGTGACCTTGAGCAGGATTTTGCTAGTGTATGATATTGGTGATATTGTTCAATAGTTTCCACACTCTGTTGAGTCACCTTTTTTTGTTTTTGAATGGGAGTAAATATAGATCTCTTCCAGTCACTTGGCCAACTAGTTGTCCTCCAGATTTCTTGGCACAACTTGGTGAGCACATCAGGGGCAGCATCTGTTTGCTGAAATACATTGATTGGTATTCCATAAATTCCTGGGGTTTTATTTTTTGCCAAGTCCTTCAGAACAGCCTTAAGTTTCTCCTTCATCACCATTGCCTCTTGATCATATATTGTTTCTTGAAATTCTTCTATGTCAGCCAATTCTTTTCGGTTTACAATGACTCTGTATACTCCTTCCATCTGCTTCCTTAATCATTCAATATTCTGTGCTTAGCATCATTAAGCATTGAAACTCGTGGTTTCAATTTGTTCTGCAGTTTCTTCAGCTTAAGAAATGCTCAGCAAGGTTGGCCCTTTTCATTTTCTGAATCCAGCTCCTTGCACATTTCATAATAATGAATGTCTTCTCAAGTTGCCCTTTGAAATCTTCTATTCAGCTCCTTAACTTCTTGATTTCTTTTTATTATTATTAATTTTAATGAATGTTTACAGAAACTTTGGATTTCCATTCATTCATTGTTGCATTTTTCTCCCTGCCCACCCCTCCCCCCTACTTCTTGATTTCTTCCCTTTGCTTTAGCTTCTTGATTCTCTAGTGCAATATTCAGAGTCTCTGGTAACATCTATTTTGGTCTTTTCTTCTTCCTTCTTTGTAAAGACTGACATTCTTGATCTCTTCACTCAGATCATCTGGTCTTTGTTCATTAGTATTCAAGGCCTCAAACCTATTCTTAAGTTGGCTTTTTAATTCGGGGGGGGAGGGCAGACTCAAGATCAAATTTTTATTTCTGTGGATATGATTTAACCTTCTTTAGCTTTAATTTGAACTTGCATATGAGAAAGTGATGGTCTGTTCCACAGTCAGTACCTGGCCTATTTTTCACTACTGATAATGAACTTCTCCAACAGTTCCTTCCACGGTTGTAATCAATCTGATTCCTGGTGTGAGCTTTAATAGCTGATGAAAGGAGTGGTTAAGAGCTGAAGGGGTAGGGTAGGATCCATCAGTCTCTCTTCAGGAGATGGCCTGGGGATTGGCTCAGCAAGACTTACAGCGTTGGGAAGTTCTCAGAACAGTTCTCCTCTGTCCCCTAGGATCACAGCACTGTGAATCAGTCGTGCCAGTGCACACAGCAGCGGTGGCTAGAACGCGAGCCATCTTTTTTTGTGCTTTTGGCCGATTTTACTTCTTCTTTGGAAATTCTGCTGTTCTAGGACTTTCTAATTTTGAATTGGGTTACATCTTTTTATCATTGAGTCCTGCTTTTTAAAGTGAACATAAAGGGGAGGGCAGTGGGAGGTGGAAGGTGAGTCGTTCTAGATGATTCCTCAAAAACTCCTCTAGAACATCCAAACTTAGAGACTCAAGAAAAAGTTAAAGGTTTTGGTGTGATTTTATTGTTTGTTTTTTTGATTGTTTTTTTTTTTAACACCAAATAGACTGTTTATTCTCTTGGTCATATGTGGAATGTTCAGTGGTCTTCTCCAACACCACAGCTCAAAGTCATCAGTGATTTTGTTTTTTAAAGGAGCATTTCCTTGAGCTCTGTGCTGCCCCTTGGGACAGGGGGACTGTGTAGAGCCCCTTCTGCACACCTGAGGTCTCCCCTCGCTTGCAGATCTGCAGCTAGGACTTTTCTCCTCGTCTCTGGGCTCCTGGGAGAAGGGCTCTCAGAAGAGCTCCCTCTTTGCTCCCCTCACAGGCATATGACTCTGGACCAGATGAAGCCCAAGGAACCTTGGAGCGCTAGGACCCTGGGAGAGTAAGTGCCCAGGCAGCGGACCGACCCTGGGCACCATGTCAGGTAGGAGGGAGTAGATGGTTGAGCAGACCTTGGGGAAAAGGGCAAGGCTCTCACTCGGAAGGACCCATCAGGTGGAGAAACCTGCCAGTTGGAGACCATTTCTTGTTAGATAGATCATCAGATAAAAGAGCTGGAGAAAAAGGAGGAACCTTGGATGCTGGGAAAGTTACTGAACTATTGTTGCAGCTCTGCACTCCACCAGCCTGTGTAAGAAGATGAAGTTTGTGGCGTTGCCCACAGAGTCTGAGAGGCTTCTTCCTGCCTCTATGCCCGCCCCCTCCACATCCAGTCCTTCAGTGGAGGGCCTCGTGGGAGGGGTGTCCTGCTCCTGAATGCTCTCCATTGTCTTGTGTCTGTGCCTCTTGGATTCTAGGAAGCCACACGCCTTCTGCTGGCGGACCCTTCTCAGCCCTGACCCCGAGCATATGGCCCCAGGAGATCCTGGCCAAGTGCACACAGGTAGATGCCCTCTCAGCCCCACCCCAGACACCACATGTGTTCTCACGCCGTGGCCTGAAGGGGCCCTGCTGCTGTGGGTTCTCAGTGCTGGTGGATTACTCCATGTTCACTCGGGAGCAGAGATGGCATTGAAGCTCCAGCATCTAATGATTCTTGGGCGGGAGTGTGGCCCTGCCTGGGAAGCATCCCAGAAACCTAGCTCCTGAAGGAAGGACCGTCCCAACCAGCCTGTTCCAGGGCTCTCAGCTCACATCCTCAGCCCATCAAAGGGACTTATATACTTAGTATACTTGTATAAGTGAACGTTACTTTGAAAAAATATTTCCTGTGGTTGAGTCAGAACCAACCCATGGCTGACCCTCCAGCCGGTTTTCAGAGGCACTAAATCACACAGGAGGAGACTGCCCCTCTTTCTCTTATGGAGCAGCTGGTAGACTCAAACTGCTAGCTTTAGGGTTGGTAGTGCAGTGTTTTACTCACTGGGCCACCAGAGCAAACTTACTTTAGAATTTCCTATTTGAGAGAAAGAATTTAACTACTTAGGAATCAATTTGAGTTGTAACAACCACTCAGCTGACATCATGTGATCTGGAGGGGTCACCTTGTGTGCTGGTAGCCACTGGGTCCTCTCAGGGCGGCAGTGTCAGCCCATTTGTAGATCTGTATGCTCCCCATATTCAGGGTGATCTGCTGAAGGACTCTGCGGGACACACAGATGCATGAAGTGTGTCTCCTGCTTGGTCTGTGAGAACAACAAAGCAGATGCTAGAGAACGTGGCTGGGAAGGGCCCTGTGACGTGGGAGGACTGGAGAGGAGCAGTAGGAGGGCAGGGGACTGCAGACCTGAGACGTGAAGGTGGGTGGTGCTGCGGCTGGCAGAGCACGGGCAGGGGGAGTAGTGTTCCAGAACTTGTGTGGATCTGCACCGTGGGCCCTGAGGTGGAGCTCAGTCAACATTCCTCATCCTGTTCTAGAAAGAAGAGTCGGTGGAGCAGCCCGAGTTCTGCTACGATGAGTTTGGTTTTCGAGTGGACAAGGAAGGTGAGCGTGGTTGCCCTGAGGAGCCTCTGGCACCGGTGACTTTGCTCACCCTGCGTTCAGCCTCTGAACCCAGGGGCAGTGCTGTTAAAAGCATAGGGAAACTGGATGGCTTGGAGGGACACTATAGTGGTCTTTATCTCGTGGCCCTGTGGGAAGGGAGTTGCGCTGCCAACTCAAAGGCAGGTGGTTCGAATCCACCAGCTGCTCTGAGGGAGAACGATGGGCAGTCTCCTCTCAGAATTTACAGCCTCTGAAAACCTGCTGGACGGTCAGCTATGAGTCTGTTCCTACTCAATGACAAGGAGTTATCTGAGAATATGAGTAATAATGTTCATTATAGAGTAGTTGAAAAATACAAAAATGTGGGAAAGTTAAAACAAAATGAACCCATTATCCTACCATCTGAAAATTATTGCTGGTATCTGGCTGGTTTTATAGTGGGTTTTTTTCCCAAAATATAAACCCCAATCTTTGATTACTAAATTCAACAGGGAGAAACTTACATTTAAATTAACATAATAGGGGAGCTCTGGTGGCCTAGTGGCAAGAAGCTGCACTGCAATCCCAGAGGTACATGGTTCAAATCCACTAGATGCTCTGCTGGAGAAGGAGGAGCAATATCCTCCTGTACCAGTCAGATCTGATTTGATGGTACACGCACACAAAATAATAAAAAAAATTAACATAATAGAGCAAGCATAGCATGTGTAGGGAGTAAAAATTTGTTAGAAAATTAGTTTGAAATATTCAAACAAGAAGTTAATATATAAAATCACTGTTTTACTTTTAACTTGTTACTCTTATAGTATACTCATAACTCAACTCCTAAATTGCTATAAAAATTATATAACAAAGAAATTCCTCACTTAATGCCTATTTTCACACCTATCATGTGTATTGAAATGATTAAAAATTTTTTTAAATTATAATTTAAAAAAGTAATTTTTTGTGTGTACTGTCAAATCAGATCTGACTGGTACAGGAGAAGATTGCCCCTTCTCCAGCAGAGCTTCTGGTGGATTCAAACTGTGTACCTCTGAGATTGCAGTGCAGCTTCTTGTCACGAAGCCACCAGAGCTCCCCTTGAAATGACTTTTTATAAGTCACAATTTTAAGGTGTAAAAGTCACTCCTTGTAGGTATATAACTAGAAAACTATAAATATGTATAGTTATATGTCTTATAAAGATAAAGGCTATTTTATAATCCTCTAATATTGTCAAGGATTTAATTGCATTTGGATCCACAGTCAGTACCCATGGTGCCAGCTGGTTTTCTTTTTTTTTTTTAGTTGAAATTTTAATGAAAGTTTATAAACTTTGGATTTCCATTGATTCATTGTTGCACGTTTTCCTCCCTACCCAGCCCTGCCCCCAGCTGGTTTTTGTCTTTGATTATTATACAGTCCATCGTCCTCCAGTGTGTTGTTTACGTAAGTGTGACATGAGTGCAGGCAGCATGGAGAGGGCTGTACTTGATCTCTCATAACTCCACAAAGGAGACCTTCCCCATCCACAGTACAAAACCAAGTCACATAAAGTCCGCCGTGGGCTCCCATACTCCACCAAATTCTGCTAATCTAACACCAGTCTTAATTCTCCGCTGGGTCACTGCAGTGACTACACAGATCTGGTAGGCCATACGCCATTGCGGGGTTTATTAGGGAAGTTAATAGACTGTCATTCAGGTTGGCAGCACAGTACAGCTCCTCCATCCAGACAGCTTCTAAAGTGTGCTCTCAGGCCCTTTGACCTTCACCTTTATGGCTTAGGTCAATGTTACAGAGTTCCCTTCATCCTGCAGTCAGGGCGTCTTCCCTCAGTCCTCCAGGAAGCTTGGGGGCAGGTCCCTGGCCCCGGCTCAGGGGCAGCAGCCCTAAGTCAGCTGTCCCATGTCCCCCTCTGGTTCTCTGCTGAGGCTGCTGCTGCTCCCGTGTAGATCCTGGTGTGACTGGCACAGGAATACCTGGCCCCAAGGACACACGCTGCATTCCTTGCTTCTTCTTCCTTGGTGGCAGTGAGATTCTTAACGTTTCTCCTGCCTTAGCTGCTCAATTTGAACCTGGTGGAATGCCACACTAGCCAGTTGCCTGTGGATGGACTAACATACCCTATTTGCATGTTCCTCCACCACCATGTAGCAAATTCAGACAGAGGTCTGGTCAAGAAAAGCCATTTTGAACAAAAGGCCCACTGTGCGTAGTAAGATTGTACTGTGCTGTTTTTATAGTGCTTATATATCACTTCTTTGTATGCCATGAGGATTCCCCCATGTTGGTTACTTTCTCTTCAGGAGAGCAGATTTTCAGTGGCTGTATGATGCCTCCTTATAATGAACTTAAAATTGTGGTTTAATAGCTATTTTCCTATAACTTAAGTGGACTTTTAGGTCATTTTCACAGTTTTCTACCATAAATAGACCTATTGGCTCTGAATGGGCTGTTGGGAAGCTTTCAGCCAGAACCTGAAGTCAACGGTCCCCAGGATGTAACCTCAGAAATCTCAGACTCGCGCTGTTAAGCAGGTTGGCCCTCCTTCAGGTCTCCGAGGCTGTGAATTGTAACGGGAGGAGATTGCCCATCTTCGTCTTGGAATCATTGGTGGGTTCAAACTTCTGGAGACATTGCAGCCTGTGGGGGAGCATGCAGCTGGCTGCAGGCCTGGACTAGGAACCAGAGGACGCTGTACCAGTCCCTTTCTGGCCGTTAACATTTCCAGCCCTTAGAGTAGCGGCTCTCATTCTTCTAGTTTGCAGGCAGGTATGGAGAGGTTACAGGCTGGGGCTGTCGGGCCACAGGAACATTCTGGAATTTTATATCTTGATGGGATGAAGGCCATGCAGTTGTGTTTATTGATGCTCATCAGAGTGCATTTGTGGTGTTTGAATCCAGTGGTGTGGACTGGACAGGCAGTGCTGGCAGTTCCAGGCTGAAGGAGGACAAGGCTCCCTGTGGGATGAACCCCCGCCCTGGGACCTGCATGGACACTCTGCCTCCTTGTCCACAGACTCTGGGAGCTGGCTGTGCTGGGCACTGCTCTCCCCCAGAGCCTGTTGGGGCAGGAAGAGCTATGAAAAGAATGGGGGGAATAGAGAAGAGGGGAGATGAGAGTTTAATGTCAGATGGTCAGAGAAGCAGAAACTCTGGTGGCTCTGGTTCAGGCATCGGCTGCTTACCCCAAGGTGGAGGATTCCACCCCTCCGGCACCCAGCTGCTGTAAAGATGACCGCCTGGGGAGCTGGACGGGGCAGTTCTGTCCTGCAGGGAGAATCAGCAGGGCTTGCTGATGGATGGAACCATGAAGGAGCAGCTGGAGGAGTGGTAGTGTTTGTGGGAGCAGGGGGACCCCCAGAACAGGGTGAGTTTGTGGAGAGGACAGCTCAGTCTGCAGGTGGCAGCCCACCTGGTGGTCACTGGGCCTTTGGGGAAGCACAGAGTCTGTACTCAGAGAGGTCTGGTCTCGGCTGTGACGTCCATACGTTCCTCTGCTCACTCGGCCCTTGGCCGCCCACAGACGCGGACAGCTCCAGGAGGCTGCTGGGAGGGTCTCTGGCGGAGGACCCTCAGCAGACCCTGAAGTGGCAGGCCCACCTGGAGTTCACCCACAACCATGATGTGGGGGACCTCACCTGGGACAAGATCGCCGTCTCCCTGCCCCGCTCAGAGAAGCTGCGCTCCCTGGTGCTGGCTGGCATCCCGCACAGTATGCGGCCGCAGGTGGGGCAGCCTGGACGGGGGTGAGGGGCCCACTCTAGGCAGGGGTCTGAGGGGAGGCTGGCCCGACGGGTCAGGGGTCCGGAGCTGAGTGCTGCCCACCTCTCCAGCTGTGGATGCGGCTCTCGGGCGCTCTGAACAAGAAGCAGAGCTCAGAGCTGTCGTACCGCGAGATGGTGAAGAACAGCTCCAATGACGAGACCATCGCAGCCAAGCAGGTAAGGCTGCCACTGGCCTGCCGGTCAGGGGCACGTGCTTGGGGTGTCCTGGCCCTAGTTCTCCTGAGCCACGCCCCACCCCCTACACATCAGAGCAAGCTGGGGCCTCCTGTCCCGAGACCACAGGGAGAATGGTCTCCACGGCCCGGGTGCTGGGCAGGACACGGTAGAGCTGGGGCTCCATCCCTGGGCGGTTTTAAAGACCTGGTTTGGGAAGGTTCTGACACAGGCGTCCAGGCCTCGTCCACACTCGCTCAGCATCCACACTAACTCTGCTGGCGCATCAGTTAGGCAAGTCCTGTGCAGGGAGACAGGTGGCAGTTGGCTTCCAGGGGAGTGCGGCCTGGTGCCATCGGGGCAGTTCCCCTCTAGTGCAGGCCGTTAGACTGGACTGGCATCATGGTGCCCACTAGGGGCCAAGGAGTCAGTGAGTCTGCATTCTGAGTGGCTGTTCACCAGCCTCTAGCTGGGGTCACGTCCTGAGGGACAGGGTAGCTCGAGCGACAACCTCCTGACACCCCTGGGGGAGGGAGTTGTGGGCTGACCGCCTCTCTGCGGGGCTGCGGGCTCACGGCCAGTCGCTGCCTGCAGATCGAGAAGGACCTGCTGCGCACCATGCCCGGCAATGCCTGCTTTGCCCACCTGAGCAGCATCGGGGTGCCACGCCTGCGCAGGATCCTGCGAGCCCTGGCTTGGCTCTACCCTGAGATCGGCTACTGCCAGGGCACTGGCATGGTGAGCAGGGTCCTCCAGGTGTCCCCCTAGGGCAGGAGTGGGTCACGCCCCTGCGGGCGGGTCGTCAGTGTATGTGGGGGGCACAGGCTCTTGCCTCCGGCCGGTGTCCTCTGGCCGTCTCCCTGTGGTCCGGGAGTGGGGCTGCCCTTCTGATTGCCACAAACTGCTGCTGAGAGGCCCTGTCCCTCTGGCCAGGTGGCCGCCTGCCTGCTGCTGTTCCTGGAGGAGGAGGACGCCTTCTGGATGATGTGCGCCATCGTGGAGGACTTGCTGCCCGCCTCCTACTTCAGCACCACGCTGCTGGGCGTCCAGACGGACCAGCGCGTCCTGCGTCACCTCATCGTGCAGTACCTGCCGAGGCTGGACCGGCTGCTGCAGGAACACGACATCGGTCCTGGGGGAGCCCTGCTGAAGGAGGGGGGCAGGGCCCTGACAGACTGAGAGCTGGGTGGTGGTCTCTGTCCTTGCCTGTCGTCTGCACAGACAAAAGCCGTGGGTCCTTGGGGTGTTGTGGGCTGTCCTGGTCCCAGCCCAGTGCCTGTGTCCGCAGAGCTGTCCCTGATCACGTTGCACTGGTTCCTCACGGCCTTCGCCAGCGTCGTGCACCTCCGGCTGCTGCTGCGCATCTGGGACCTGTTCTTCTACGAGGGCTCCCGGGTGCTGTTCCAGACCACGCTGGGCATGCTGCGCCTCAAGGTGCCGGGCCCACTGTCACAGCCCCACGTCGTCCCCTGTGGAGGAGGGCTGGTGGACAAGGCGCTGCCCCTGCATCCCTGCCTGCATCCCTGCCTGCTCCCTGACGCTCCAGGCCCTGACGGCCAGTCTCTGAGGACAGTGACTGGGGTTTCCAGGAGCCTGGGGTGACGCCCTTCCTTCCCACCTGACCCAGGAGGAGGAGCTGATCCAGTCGGAGAACTCGGCCTCCATCTTCAACACACTGTCCGACATCCCGTCGCAGATGGAGGACGCAGAGCTGCTGCTGGAGACAGCCATGCGCCTGGCCGGCTCCCTGAGCGACGTGGCCGTGGAGACCCAGCGTCGGAAGCACCTGGCCTACCTCATTGCGGACCAGGGTCAGCTCTTGGGAGCGAGCACCACTGCCAACCTCTCTCAGGTGGGTCATGAGGTGACCACCGTGCAGAACCGTGAGAGGCTGTGGGAACCGACTGACCATCTGCCCTGCCCCCGCCCTGTCCCACTCAGCACCCAAGGCCCAGTGGGGCCTGGCCTTACCACACGGGGCTGCAGCCTAGCACCAGACCCCCATCCCCAGGAGGGAGACCATGCTGTGTGCATACAGCAGGGGTCTGGTGGTGGGTGAGGCGGCACCAGTGACCCTGGGGCCACCACATGGGAGGATTGTAACCCTGGACTTCCTCTGGGCTGAGGTGCCCCCGCCCCCTGGCCTCCAGGTCCCCTGAACGACTCTCCTGCTCATAGGTGGTCCGTCGTAGAGCTCAGCGGAGGAAGTCAGGCTTCGCCTCCCTGCTCTTTGGTGAGGACAGGTCCCCTCCAGGGCAGGCAGCTCACAGAAGGGGGTTTGGGTGCCAGGGGGGTCCAGGCAGCGGGGCAGGGGTGTGGAGTGTGAGCGGTCCCACCTCCCAGGGGAGGATGACCTGGAGGCACTCAAGGCCAAGAACATCAAGCAGACGGAGCTGGTGGCGGACCTCCGGGAAGCTGTCCTGCGGGTGGCCCGTCACTTCCAGTGCACAGACCCCAAGAACTGTAGTGTGGTGAGTGACTCCGCCCTGGGCTCCTGCCAGCCCCATCAGGACCGTCCCAGCCCCACACGGCCTCCGTCCCGACAGGAGCTGACCCCCGACTACAGCATGGAGAGCCACCAGCGGGACCACGAGAACTACGTGGCCTGCTCCCGTGGCCACCGCCGCCGAGCCAAGGCCCTGCTGGACTTCGAGCGGCATGACGATGACGAGCTGGGCTTCCGGAAGAACGACATCATCACGGTGTGTGGGTGCCGGGGCTGCCCGGTACTGACCCCACCTTCCCAAACCACCTCACCTTGCCCCCCGACCCTCCACGGGACCCCATCCTGCCCCCAAGCGTCTTCCTGGGAACTTGGGGTCTCGGATGGAGCTGCCAGAGGGGCTCAGCTCTGGGCCTGCCCTCCCTGCAGATCGTCTCCCAGAAGGATGAGCACTGCTGGGTGGGGGAGCTGAACGGCCTGCGAGGTGAGCGGAGGACGACCACTGCCCCAGACTGGGCGCCCCCGTCCAGCTGATGGGGAGGGTGAGGTGGCCAAGTCCCTCTCCTCTGAGTGGCTGCCCTGCTGGAGGCCTGCCAGCTCTGCCCTGGTCGATGCACCACGGGGCCGGGGCCCAGACACCTCACTGGACCTGCTTCTCCCACAGGCTGGTTTCCAGCCAAGTTCGTGGAAGTCCTGGACGAGCGAAGCAAAGAGGTAAGAAAGGTTGTCCCTCGGGGCCTGCACTTGGAGCAGGGACATGTCCCAGAGCGGCCGGGAGGGCTCTAGCTGGCCGCCTCAGCCCTGCTTGTCCACAGTACTCCATCGCGGGGGACGACTCGGTGACTGAGGGCGTCACAGACCTCGTGCGAGGGACCCTGTGCCCGGCACTCAAGGCCCTGTTTGAACACGGGCTGAAGAAGCCGTCCCTGCTGGGCGGTGCCTGCCACCCCTGGCTGTTCATTGAGGAGGTAGGTCAGGCTGCCCTGTCCCCCAGGCCTTCCCCGGGGCTCCTGTCCAGCCTGGGGGGGGGTCCCTGCCTGCGGAGCTAGCGGTGGCAGTCCTGCCCACCCTGATGCCCAGCCGTCCATAGGCTGCTGGCCGGGAAGTGGAGAGGGACTTCGACTCCGTGTACTCCCGCCTGGTGCTTTGTAAGACCTACAGGTAAGCTGTGCCTGGGGAGGAAAGGGGGGGGGGTCCTACCTGATGCTGTGTAAGACAGGCAGGTACCCCATGCTGTGGCGGGCAGAGCTGGGGGGAGGCAGGGCCCTGGGCATGGGCGGCAGTGGGTGCTGTGGTCCCTCTGCAGGTTGGATGAAGATGGCAAAGTCCTGACCCCGGAGGAGCTGCTCTACCGGGTAAGGAGGCTGTCGGGGGTGCTCCCTGGGCAGCATGCAGGGCACCCAAGTGACAGCTGTGCCCCACAGGCCGTGCAGTCTGTGAACGTGACCCATGACGCAGTGCACGCGCAGATGGATGTGAAGCTCCGCTCCCTCATCTGTGTGGGGCTCAAGTGAGTGAGGTCTCCATTGTGGGTATCTGACAGGCACGCGCGGCGTGGGCACCACGTGAGTCAGGAGCTTTGGGACCCGTGAATGGAGATATTTCCAGAATCGAGGCATAAACCACATGCCTGGGTGGGACCTTCAGGGGCAGCCAGGCAGAAGTGGGAGGTGTCTGCAGTAGCCAGGGGTTCCCGTCCCCTTGAGAGCGCTGGTCCAGGCTAGAGGGCCAGGAGGCCACAGTGCAGCATCTGTCTTGAACAGGAGGGTGCTGGCCGGGAGGCGGGGGGGGGGCCTGGGACGCATCTTATCTGAGGGGAGTAGAGGCTGTACGGGCTGGGGGGTCAGGGACCTCCTCCTGCGTGGTGGCGGGGCCTCCACAGTCTTGTTGCAGGCGAGGCTGGGGTGGAGGCACTAGGGAGTGGCCTGACCTTGTCAGGGGGTGGGTGGTGAGTGTCCCATCACAGTGTCTCGTCCTGTGTCCCAGTGAGCAGGTTTTGCACCTGTGGCTGGAAGTGCTCTGCTCCAGCCTGGCCACCGTGGAGAAGTGGTACCAGCCCTGGTCGTTCCTGCGCAGCCCCGGCTGGGTCCAGATCAAGTGTGAACTCCGGTGAGCTCAGGTCTGGGGGCGGGGGGGGCTGCGGAGGACGGGGCAGAGCCACCCTCACCTCCACCCTCCTCGCCCTCAGCGTCCTCTGCTGCTTTGCCTTCAGCCTCTCCCAGGACTGGGAACTTCCTGTGAAGAGAGAGGTGGGTGGTCCTTCCGGGCCTTCCTGGGGTGCTAGTGGGCTGAGGGGTGGGTTCCTGGGTGCCAAGGCTGTGACCGCAAGGCCTGGCCTACGTGCAGGAGGAGAAGCGACCCCTGAAGGAGGGGGTCCAGGACATGCTGGTTAAGCACCACCTGTTCAGCTGGGACATAGACGGGTGACAGTGCTCCTCCAAAGCCACGCCAGGCCGATGCCTCCAGGAGCCTACCCACTGCCACCGGACCCTCCCTCGAACAGGAGGATAGCTCTGCCTGGCTGGTCACAGGCTGCTGCCCCCCACTCACCCTAGCTGTGGGGTCCCCGCCAGCTGTGGGGGTAGGACACTCAGAGCTCGTGCCCAGGATCACAAGACCATTGCAGGGGCAGTGGCCTATCAGGGGCAGGTCAGAGGGGATGCCTGGCCTGTCCCTCTGAGCCGGAGGGCTCTGCCTGGAGTCCTTGAGGATGGACACCCACCAAACCTCTTGTGAGGAGGTGGGACCGCCTCTGTCCTGCCAGTCTTTGCTCAGGAAGGGGGGTGGCCTGTGAATAAACGGTCTTTGAGAAAAAGCCTCCTGACTTCTGTGGGCCACGGCCTGTCCTGCTGTGGTCCTCATGCCGGCCTCGCCCCAGCAGGAAGGCCTGAGTGGGCCTGGTGTCCGCACCCCACCGCACCACCCAAAGAGGGGCACTGAAGCCAGCTGCTAGTCTTTTTTTTTTTATTTTAAAGATGTCACATAGCATCCCCACCTCGGTCCCAGCACTCATTCTGGTGCCCCTGAGCCCTGAGTCACAGGCTAGATGGACAGGATGCCTCAGGCCGGGTCCCTGAGCAGGGCTGGGCTAGCGCCCATCTGTCCTGGGCAAAGCCAACTCTGACCAGTGGTGGCTGTGATGGGGCACCTGGAGGGAACAAGGGATGTGGGGTGGGGCACTGTGGCAGGGACAGGGCCAGGAAGCACCCCTGCCCTGGTGGCACTGATAAAGGGCTGGGAAGCAGGGCAGATGTCGCAGCGTGGCAGGGTGACTACATGTCAAACATGTGCTGGTGGGCCTGTGCCAGCTTGGGGCCCTGGACCCAGGCCCATCTGTGTGCAGAGCGGGAGAGGGGGCTGCACTTGCTCCTCCTGGCCCCAAAGTGGGGGGGGGGCATCAGAGGAGCCCTGGTGGTACAGTGATTAAGCACTCGGCTCTAGTCAAAGGGTTGGCAGTTTGAACCCACTAGCCACTCACGCCAAGGGAGAAAAATATGGCAGTCAGTCAGCTTCCTTCAAGATTTCAGACTTACAAACCCCACGGGGCAGTTCTCCAGCCTCCAGGGGCGCTGTGAGTCGGTCAACTCGACAGCATCGGATTTGGTTTTCTGGGTGTGCATGTTGATACAGAATAGAGGTATATACACCTGTACAGAAACTTCCCACTGAAAGGGCTCAGTGTCCGAGACACCAGAACGGCAGGAGCCCTCCGACACTCTGGGGGCCTGAGGCCACTGACGGCGGGAGGGTTGGTGGGGGTCTTCCCCGCAGGGGGTGGGAGACAGGCCTTAGCCAGACAGCAGCCCTCAGAGGAGGCGTCCACGCTGAGGCCCAGACCTGGGCAGGCCGAGCAGCATGGGGTCGCCTGCGCTGTGAGTGCGAGCCCCTCAGGGCTCAGCCTCCTGCGGAGGGAGGCAGGCTGTGATTGTCAGCCTCACAACCACACAGAAGCAGGATCGGGCTGGGGGCCGGCAGCCCCCCCCCACAGGCCCGTCCTCGGAGCAGGAGCTACAAGCAGGAGTCCCAGTGGAGCTGCAGGTCATGGCCGTCGAGGAAGTCCGTGGAGAAGAGGCTCGGGGCTGAGGTGCCGAGGGGGGCCAGGCTGAGCACGGGGCCGCCCGACGACAGCTCCAGCCAGTCCATGCTGTCCAGGTGCCCGTCAGCCAGGTCCACAGGGCCGCTAGGCTCGGGTGAAAAGTGCAGTTCTGAGGTGTCCATGGGGGAAGGGGGGTGGTCCAGGATGGCGGAGCTGCTGAGCATCTGGCTGTGGAGGTCGTCGATGAGCGAGAGGGGCTCCGGGCCTTCATGCCCACCCGTGAGCAGTGGCAGCCCCGTGCTGCTCTCCAGGAAGTCCTCCAGGCGCCCGGGGAGGGCGGGCGAGCTGGACGGCGCGGGGGCGGCCTGCGGGGGCTCAGCGCTGGGCGAGGGCTGTGCAGCCAGCATGGAGGCGGCGGGCGAGGGGGGCTTCTCCTTTCCCGGCTCCTTGAAATCCGCGGGGATTTCTGCCAACCGGAGTATTAGGTTAGAAACAGGGCCAGGTGCTGACCCCGTCCCCCGGCTGAAATGCTGCAGCCCCTGTGCATCTTCTCACTTCTCAATGCCCCCCCATCCCCCCCTACTCACACAGAGTTGAAAACTGCCTTCTTGTACCATCTCCCGGTGCACATGCAGCCTCGTCCCACCTGGATGTCCACTGCCCCGCCCCCATGTTTGAGAGACGCCCACCCTAGGGTACCCAGAGCCCATCTGTGCCCTGATATTCATGTCAACTGCTACTGAACGCCTCTGTTTTTCTAAGATAAAAAAAAATCTCCACTGGTGTACGGCCTGAGACAGTGTGAGCTGGTCCCAGACCCCACCATGACACAGTGATGCGGGCCACATAAATGCTCCAGTCCCTGAGCACTTAAGTGCGCACTGTACGGCTCTGTGAAAAGAGTTACGTGGCCAGAAGAGGTCAAGTCTTGGACTGCTAACCACAAAGGTAGCAGTTCAAACCCACCAGCCACTGTAAGGGAGAAAGAAGAGCCCCCTCTGAAGATTTACAGCCTCAGAAACCTGACTGCATGAACTAGAATTGACGTGAGGACAGTGGGTTTTGTTTTTTGCTTGGTAATCTGTTAAATGAGCACTAGTGGCACGAAGCTGAGGGCCACCTGAGGTTTGAGGCTACCCACTGCTCAGAGAGAAGGATGGGCACTCTCCTCCTGTGCAATTAATGGCCTCTGAAAATCCACTGGTGGGTCAGTTTTGACTCTACAGTACACAATTACAACATTATGGAAAAGTTTGAAATTTTGCGAGAATGGCCAAAATGTGCCACAAAGCTATGACGTGAGCACAAGCTCTTGGAAAAATGGCACCAGCAGACTCTGCTTCTTGTTGTTAGGTGCTGTTGAGTCCGATCCATCTTGACCCTACAAACAACAGATCTGAACCCTGTTCTGTCCTGTGCCATCCTTGCACTTCCTGACACACTAGAGCCCACTGCAGCAGTCATGTCAATCCACCTGGTTGGACCTTTGTTGGCCCCCCCACTTTTCCAAGCATCGTGTCCTCCTAGGAATAGCCCTCCTATCAACATGCATGAAGGATGTTAGATGAAGCTTTATCATCTTTGCCTCCAAAGAGCACTCTGGCTACACCCTCTCCAAGACATGCTTGTTCTTTTGGCCATCTAGGTTTAATCCTCCTCTCAACACCACTTCTTCTGTCAACCGTATTCACTGGCTAGGTTTTAATGCACAGCAAATTATCAGCAAGACCAAGGCCTGAATCAAGACGTGCCTTAATCCTCAAACTGACATCATTGCTCCTCAGTAATTTAGAGAGATCCTTGACTACAGACTTTTCCAATGTAATATGTCTCCTGATTTGTTGATTGTGGATCCAAGAAAGATGAAGTTTCAGTCTTTTCTTCCTTTTACATGATGTTGCGTATCGGGCCAGTGTTAAGAATTTTTGTTTTTCCTTGATGTTGAGATGCAATCCAAACTGAAAGCTGCATTCCTTGATCCTCTGCAATAAGTTCCTGAAATCTTTCAGCAAGCAAGGTTGTGTTATCTGCATAATGCAGGCTATTGATGAGTCTCCCTTCAATCCTGATGCCACATAATTTTTCAGAGTCCAACTTCTTGAATACTTTGCTCAGCATAGAAAATAAACAATATGGAGAAAAGATATCACCCTCATGCTCACATTTCTTAATTGTAAACCATGTAGTGTTCTCTTGTCCTATTCACACAACAACTTTGTGGTCTAGGTACAGGTTTCAAACACATGAGCACAATTAAATGCTCTAAGATTTCCATTATTCTTTTTTTTGGTATTTTACTATTTTTTGTGTGTGTACCGTCAAATCAGATCTGACTGGTACAGGAGGAGATTACCCGTCCTTCTCCAGCAGAGCATCTGTTGGAGTCGAACAATGTACTTCTGGGATTGCAGTGCAGCTTCTTGCCTCTAGGCCACCAGAGCTCCCTAAGATTTCCATTCTTAATGTTAGCTGTAACTAGCCATTACAGAATAAGTAGACATTCTTCTGGTATTTTTTACTTTCAGCCAGGATCCATCTGACATCAGCAGTGATATCATGGTCTCTCCTAAATCCTCCTTGATCTTTTAGCAGTCCCTTATCTGTGTAATGTTCTAGCCATTTCTGAATGATCTTCAGCAGTCTTTTGCTGGCATGTGGTATGAATGCTGTCCTAACAACATACTGCAGGGTTACACAAATATTCAGTGTATGAAAAACACACAATCTGCAGAATCGGGTGTGCTTGCTCTCCTGTGTATCATTCAGTGCATCGTCCTATCTCACCTCAAACAGGACCTGGGGGCCGGAATGCTGCTGTGCTCTGGTCACTGTCACAGCGGCCCCAGTGCCACCAGCTGGGTCATGTCTAGCCCAGAACTCTTCCCTCTGACTTGTTCTCCTTCTGTGTCTTGACACTGGACAGCTGTCACCTCCCATCTGGGTGCCCTTATTGCTGAGCCTTCAGCTCAGTTAGCACCAGGCCCTACCCCGTCACCCCGGGTCCTCACTGGGCTTGCTGCATTATTGGGAGCTCACTTCCTTCTCAGCTAGTTAACCTTCTGCCCCAAACTATCCCGGTCAGCAACCTGCATGACCTTTAGCAGGTTACAAGAGACCATTTCCCACCTGTCACCTTCCTGTGGTGGCCTCAGGGAGAGCCTCCTGCTTCCTCCCAGGTCTCGACCCACCAGCCCCTGCTTCCTGCTTCTCAATGCCTGTCCTCCAGATCTTCATGCTTTGCCTCCTCTGCCCAGAGAACACCTCCTCCTCATGGGAAACGCACCGCCCCTCCTATGACCTCACGCGTGCCCATGCCCACTCCTGAGCACGCCACTCCTCGGGCACAGGAGGCATCACCCTCCCGCCAGGGTCTGTGCCGAGGTGACTACTCTGGGGGCCTCGAGCTCAGACTCCTCTAAGTCCTCATCATGGTTGGTCCTGCCTTTCCCCCCTTCCCCTGCTCCAGCTCTCCACACCCCTCAACTTCCTCCACTTGTCCTCGTCACCTGTACTCCTTTCTGACCTGTGGTTTAGTAGTTCTGTCAATGGCTTAACTCCCCGTGTGGGACCTGGTGCTCACACACACACACTCACTACTCTGTTCACCAGAACACTCCACACAGGTATCTGGTAAATAACCAGTGTGGAAGACACCCCCTCTTCTCAGGCCTTGAGAAGGGCTTGTATATCCACTCAGAAACATGTCCTTCTGCACGTCTGAGACCTGATAAACATGCAGTAAATACATCTCAGATCAATGGGCCTGAAGCTCACACAACCAGCAATGAGGGAGGGGCTGGGCCTCAGAGTCTAGAATTACCTCCACTTTGAATAAGAATGTCAAACAGGTCATCCATCTGCTGGCTCGAGGAGCTGTTTTCCTGTGGGACAAATAGGAAAAGAGATGAAGGTCTGTCAGAGGCCACACCGGCCAGGTCCAGGCGCCTTTTCTGTCCAAGTTGCAGCCAAGCCCTGAAGCCCCACCGCCCCGGCCAGCCCCCGTCCACCTTCTTCACCTGCTGTTTGGGCTGCTGGTTCACGGCCTCATCATAGCCAGGTGGCTCTTTCTTCAGTAGAGAAATTGGGGGCCCTAAGAGGGGCTGTGGTGGGGGCTCCAAGTCCATCTGGGCTGGTGGGCCAGGGGCTGGAGAGCCAGGCTGAGACAAAGGCTGGAGATGAGAGAAGAATGGTGTGCAGATGGTCTCAGGCATCAAGACCTGACCTGATAGGGTCTGCAAGCCAACCATGACCCAGTGAGCAGGCTGCCAGGTAAGTGGGGTACAAGACTCTCCACCCCCAGAGCAGATATTGAAGCTGAGGCCAGGTGTAAAACTGTACCAGTATTAGTAATTAATTATGTAAAAAAAATACAATGTGGATGAATAATTGTATGTAAACATATTTTAAAAATCCAAAACCACACAAAAGACTGTTCCAGTACCAATGGCCTGTGGAGAGGCTGGGGTCCCTTGACTATGGGTCCAGGCAGGCCCTTAACCACCCTAACTGGTAAAGCTGGAGGTGGAATTCCTTTCTTGGGAGGTTCTAACATTAAATGAACAAATGCAGGGCACACTGGGATGTTGGGAAAGGAGAGGATCCTCACCCCCTCCCCGTACCTGTGGGGGGCTCGCACTGGGCAGGGCCCCAGGACTGCCTGTGCTGGAATTGGTCATGGTGAGCACAAGGTGGGTCCCAGTGGAGTCGGTGACAAGGGTGGGCGGTGTGACCCCCTTGAGGAGGCTGGAGCTCCTTGGGCTCAGGAGTAGCTGGGGCACAGGCACTGGTATGGGCTCGGGCAGCCCGGCTTCCTGTTTTACCACCACAGCCTGGGGCACAAGGGCGAGGGTACCAGCATCTGCCGGGCTGACAGCGGGCTCTGCCAAGCCGGGGCTGCATGGGTGTGTGGGGCGCAGGGATGGCTGGCTCAGCTGGCAGCTGGTGAAGCTGCTCTCCTGCTTCACAGTGGCAGTGGTGGTGGCAGTGGCGAGGGTGGCAGGGCTCAGACCAGGCTGCTGGGCCCGCTTCTCCTGCTCCAGCTGCAGACGCAGCCGCTCCACCAACTGCTGCTTCTGCCGGAGCATGCGTGTCAGCTCCTCGATCTGCTTGTCCTTCTCCTGCAGCATCTGGTCCTTGTCCAGTCCCTCGGGCTCCGTCCGCACCCCCGGGCTCAGACAGCAGGTGCCAGTCCGCGGGCCCTCCTCCTTCACCAGGATCTGCAGGGGCGAGGCCTGCAGTGTGAGCTGCGTCAGCGGCGATGTCACCATCTCACCAAAGGTGTCCCCGGGTGTGGAATTCTCATCACCCGTGCTAAGCAGGGAGCGCTCTGAGGGAGTGGGAGACACAGGGGGTGTGGAGCCCGTGCTGCCAAACTTCACCACTCCATTGCTGGTCACCGTAGCCACCACCACCTCGGTAGGGGCTAGGCCTGCTGCCACCAAGGCTGGCCCCGTGCTCAGCCGAGCCGCCGGGAAGGCCACCACCACCTCCCCGGCCTTGGGCAGGATGGAGGCGGTGCTGGTGGGGGCCTTGGGGGCTCCCGGGGCGGAGCTGGCTTGGTCGTGGTAGGCCCGCAAGCGCTCTATCAGGTCGGTCTTGGTGCCTGAGACGGGCAGTGAGCGCAACTTCAGCTCCTGCTTCAGCTCTGCCACCTGCAAGGGGTTAAGAGCCCAGTCAGCCGAGACCTGGGGCTTTGTCTAGGCGGTGAGCATGAGGCTGGACACAGGGAGCAGGGTCCTGTAAAGGACATCATGGAAGATGAGAGGACGAGACACTGACCAGTAAGCCCCGTCCTCAGTGCCCACATCCGTCCATGGCCCCAAGGAGGGAGCCACACCCCACACCTACCCCCAGCCTCCTCACCCACCACAGTGCAGATCTGAGCCTGGGAGACCCACCCCCCCAAGCCTGCTCCAGGTATATCGAGGCCACAGCGGTCCCAGCCCCCAGCCCAGAGCCTGGCGTCCATATATATTTAATATACTGACTGCATTTTACAAATGAGAAAACCATGCTCAGGACCACCTGCTCAGTGAGGGGCAGAGCTGGGTTTCTAGAAGGAGTCTGAGGGCCCAGCTGCCTCCACATGGCTGGTCTCTGCTTGAGGCCAAGCCCCCTGGGGAATTTGGTTAGGGAGCTCTGGTGGCCCAGGGATAAGAAGCTGCGCTGCAAACCCAGTCACACAATTAGAATCCACCATCTGCTCCATGGGAAAAGGATGGGCAATCTCTTACCATGAGATTAACTGCCTATGAAAACCCACTGAAGGGTCAGCTAAGACCCAATACAATACAACAATACCTGATCAGAAACAGCAGCAGGTGACCAGGCAGCTCTACAAAAGGTTCAAGGGGCGTCAGCTAGGTGACTGGACAGTGACCACATGAAACCATCATGTGCCTGGATCTGGCTCTACCATTAGGGTTACTCTGCCTCTCAGCACCCCAGCTTCCTACTTTTGAAGTGATGGAGTTTGGAGCCCTATTTGCTCCTGGAGCTGTGGGCTGGGTTTCACGATTTCTCTGCCTCCGAAGGGTCTCAGAAAAAAGCCTGGTGGGAGGGGCAGGCCACTTGCCTTCATCTCGTCCAGGTTGGCAGGCAGGGCGCCGGGCTTGCTCGTCAGTGAGATGCTGTTCTGGCGCGCCAGCCCTGCAGGCCCCGGGGCCCCTGCACTGGAGCTATTGCTGCTGGTGGAAAGGCTGCGTCCCGGAGGAGCTGCACTGCACCCCAGGGTCTCCCCTGTCGGCCTAGGAAGAGGGAAAGGCTGGAATAGATACTGCTGCAGGCAAATGCCAAGAGCCCAGGTCACAGGCTAGCCCTGCCAAGGACACTCCAGTGCCTCCAGACCAGGGGTCATCAGAAGCCTGGAGTCACCCCGGCAGGGTGGGTACCTGTAGCCTTAGGGCAGAGACAGGTGAGGTATGGGTGGGTGTGGCAGTGGGATAGACTGGTGGATGGCAGTGTGGCAAGACACGTGGGCTTTTACTCTGGCAGGGTGGTGATGTGCAAGGGCCTACTTTGCTGAGGCGGCAAACTACGAGGCAGGGCAACCTCCTGTTTTGGCGAGGCAAAGGTGGGCGCGGGGTTGTGAACAGTGGACGTGTACTCTGGCAGAGCAGTGATGAAGATAGGGAGGTGATGGGGTCAGGGCAGGCTGACTCCTGCTCTGTTGGGGTTAGTGGAGACAGGGCAAGGACAAGCAGGCTCCTAGCTGGCGGGGAGGTGATGGGAGTGGGTTGGGACGGGTCCCTCTTGGTGGGGAGGTGGTGGTGTGGGGACAGGTAGGTTCCTACTTGGGTGGGGCTGGCAGGATGGTCTGGTAGTTGTAGTGCTGCTGCTGCTGCTGGTTGAGGATCTGCAGCTGCAGGAAGAGCTGCTGTTGCTGCAGAATCCGGGCGTAGGAGGAATCCATGGGCGGGGGGCCCTTGTCCTGCTTTTGGTCTGGGGGGATGTACTGGTGGTACTTGAGCTTCTTGACTTTGGGCTTCAGTTCCTTGGCCTTCTTGCTGCGCTGTGACTTCTCACCAGCAGATTTGGATTGGCTTTGCTAAGAAGACAGAGAGCACCAGGGAGGCACAGGCTTCTTGGAGCGGAGGCCCAGGAAAAGGATGCAACAGCCCTCCATCCCTCACCTGGTGGCTTCTGACAAGGCCCTCCTCTATCTTGCCCACTTCCCCCTGAACTGCACCCCTCCACCAGCAGAGGTCTCCTCAGGGAGAAGGTGAGAGGAGCCTCCACAGAGAGAGAATGTGGAGCACATGGTACAGGCACCCCCACCCCCACCTCCTCCGTGGAAGAGGGGCAGAGCCAGGAGGCAAAGTGCTGACAGACACCATGTGCAGACCGAGCAGGAGTCTGTGCAGGAATGAGCAGAGGCCCTGGACAGGGATGATGCCAATGTGCCTGGCAGCACCGGTCGAGGTCACCAAGACCATTTTCTGACCGTGTAAGAAATCCAGGCTACAGTCCCAGACACCATGCACCGAATGTCCCTACAAAGACTCCCCACTGGAGTGCAGAGAAGGCTGCACACAAGACATGAGCCAGGGGCAACCCAGGCCAACCAAGAAAGGGTCAGGAGCCATGACTCTGGGTTGGGGAGGTTGGAAAGGGCTGAGAGAGAAAGAGTGTGCAGGGGTGCGCCTGGAAGTCCAGCAGAGCTCAGCTCCGGAGTCTGGCAGGAGCAGGGAGCAGGGGGTCTGATGGCAGGTTTGGCAGAGGTACCCTGAGCTGATGGTGTGAGTGGTTACCGGTGAGATGTAGGGGTGGACAGAGCCAGGAGATGGAGGAAGTAGGAAGGAGAGTGGGCCAAAGGATGAACCAGGGAGTACCTCACCTCCAGGAGGGAGGAGGAAGAGGCAGCAGAACTGTAACTGCACGAGAGAGGGGTGCAGTCAGAGCACGGGAGGCCGGTGCTGATCTCTGATGTGGAGGGGATGGTAACAGAGTGCTCAAGGGCAAAGGGTTCCTTTACCTTGATGAGTGCCGGCATGGGCTTGGCGGTGGGGACAGTTCCATTGGTGAGGCTCGGAGCCAGGTGAGGAGGGGGCGGTGGAGGGGGCTGCTCTGCTAGGAAAAGGGTTTCTCCAGAATCAGGGCCCATCGGCAGCTGAGACACAGCCTGCATAGAGTGGGAGGGGGATGGGGTTAGAGACACACAGACTTGGGGTGCCTCACAGGCACAGGTGGCCTTAGCACTGCAGAAAGGTGGGGTGGCATTCGTGTCAATGACTGAAGTCAATGATCAAGGGGTGAGAAGAGATGCCTCCAAATTGACAAAGAAAAGCAAGGAGAAACTGGGAGGGTAAAGAGAGGTGGAGATGCGGGTGACCAAAGATGACAAGAAAAGTCGCTGCTGGAATGAATGACAGCGCAGTCCGGAAGCCAGGGTTCAGGCTGCCTGAGCTGGGGTCCTCCAGGGCAGCGCTGGGTGTGCTCGAGCACCAGGACGTGAGCTACCAGGACACCCACCGGAGCCCGGGCTACTCACTGGCCCCTGGCCGGAGGCTGATCTGGGCAAGCTTACCTGAGGTGGGGACACAGAGGTGGCACTGGGCAGTGGCTCGCTGACTCGGGCTTCCAGGGGGGATGGCACGGAGCCCTGGGACTCATGGCTGGCAGGCTGCTCCGGGGATAAGGCATCGCTGCTGTCTTCGTCAAAGGAAGAGCTGTCTGCCACCTTCGGGTAGTTCACCTGGCCCACTGACACACAGAGTGGCCTGAGTGCCCACCTCCGGCTCCTCAGAGTGCGGGGAGGTCCCGCTTGCCAGCAGAGTGGCTCTGCCCCACACCCAGTAAGGCAATGGCAGGTCTTGTCCCCAGAACCCTGGGACAGCTTGTTCTTAGGCAAGTGAGCAAAGGCCAGAGGGAGGCCTGTGGGCCATCATGGGGCTCCAGGTCGAGGAAGACCCATGTTCAACGCTTTACTGGAATTCTTTGTCAGCTCTGCCCTACTGCGCTCCCTGGGAGTCTGGTTCCTCCTCCATCTCCTGTTTCCTGCTGTTAAAGGTCTTGCACTTCCACCCATGGCCACACAGAAACCCCTATTTTGAGAACACTCTGTCTCAGCTTAGAGGGAGGGACTCTGGGGCTGGGGGCTATGTATGAATGACGTGGCTCCTCCTGGCAAGTGTCTGACCCCATCCTTCCTGGGCCAGGAAGAGCCTCCGAATCTGGGCTCTCAGGTTGGGGACAGAAGTTCTCAGAAAAGAGACACCTCGCTGCTTAGAGGCTGTGATGCCCAGAGCCGGAGCAGCAGGTTGGCTGCCCTTCCTGCCTCCCATTAGTCCCCAGAGTGCCTGTCTCCTGGGGCTGCAGGGTGGCTGGAGAGTGAGGAAGAGGCGCAGGGAAATCCCAGAACCAGGAGGAAGAAAAGGCTAGGGAAGTCTGGGGAGGAACTTGCAGGCCAGTGGGATATTTCAAAAGAGCCCTGTCCCAACCTGCGCCTCTGCAGGGTCAGAGGAAGGGTCTGTGGGAAACTGGGAGGAATGAGGAGGAAGGAAATGGGGAGGCCAAGCCCAGAGGTGTGCTGTGTGCTCCTCGCTGAGGGGACACCCACTCTGGGGGAGACCAGTCACAGAAGAGGAACGAGCCACTGGTCATTCACCATGTGTGACTCCAGCAGTGGCGTCCTCCCAGGGCCATGACCTGGGGCACTCCTACTCCCTGGAGGAGCACCTCTCCACCACCTGCCCCGGGCCATGCACAACAGGGACAGACTTCCTGTACTCAAACATGCATGTTGCTCTCATCTTCTCTACACCCCAGCCTGCTAGGTGGGGTGACCTGGTGTGTCAGGGTGACAACCCAGGGGCACAGTTGTGGCCCTCACTCTGGCCTGTCCACTCCAGTGCAGTTGCTAGCAGAGGAGAAAGCCATAGTCTGGCACCCACAGACCTGTCTGCTCACTGTGGGCCAGAGCTTGTTCTCAGGGAGCACACCTGCCAGCCCCTGGGGGGCTCAGACTGATTATGGGAGGCTCAGGGCCCAGAGGAGAGACACCTGACACGAATCCTAAGGTCAAAGAGCTAAGCTAAAGGAGAAGGCGTCTGAGTGGGGCTGCGTGAGTGCACACATGCTTGGCCACAGAGGAGAGGCCGTCACAGACAGCAGACCAGCCTCACTGAGCGCCACCTTCTTGAGGGGCTGGAGCTCCCACCCCCTGCGCTGCCCCTTTCCCTCCACATCACCCCATGTGCCAGTGCAGCCTCCATCTTTGCCGCCCTCAGCTCTTCTTCCTGTGGACATGCTAGCCCCACGCTTCCTCGCCTCCATCTGAGCCTAGGTCTTTCCTCTCGGCCAGACTAGTTCTTCCCCAGCCAGCGCCTGCCTCTCCTGCCCCACAGCTCCCTGAGCAGGGGAGGCAGGGCTGCCCTCACACCCCCACTTCTCAGTACAGGATGTGGTGTGGCTGGAGGGCCCTCTCCCAACAACAGCTTCACTGTCCACCTCAGGTGCTTCTCATTTCTGAACATGCCTGGCCATCAGCCACTGTCCGTGCCATCTCCTCGACCTGCAGTGTCCCTCTTGTGCCTTCCATTGTGCTATGTCATTTGTGGGGTCTTCTCCAACCACTGTCAGCTGGGAACTCTGGTCTCTGGGGACATGGTGCTCAAGGCCACTGCTAATGGACGCAGTCTCGCAGGCACTAAGGACCGAGACCCTGATTACCATCCCGTGAGGCAGGGGACTCTGCTCCCGAGTCCCAGCTCCAGTCTCTGCACAGCACAGCACAGAGTGGGCAGAGGAAACGTCCAAGGTAGGGGTCACACGGGGCAGGCCCAGCAGCCACACTCAACAACCACCACACTGCTCACTAAATGGCCACACCTGACCGGCTCCAGTCCCGGCCTGGGAGAGAAATCAAGGAGGAAGACTTTGAGGAGTGGATGAAGGCTAGGGCTTGTCAGTGGTCACTGAGAGCTCCACGGGCTATTGTAGATGCAGGGACAGGGTCTGCGAAGGGGCCCAGGGGGTTGGGGGCAGCCTCCTTCACTAAGTCCACCTGCAGCACACGCGGCTAGAACTAACTCGTGACCTGGACATGAGGACCTGCCACTGGGTCCCCACCTTTGACCTGTCAACACAGTGGGAAAGAACCACTCTTCTCCAAGGCAAGGCCCCCTCCCAACCGCAGCCAGGAGCACTGCAGTGAGGGGTGCACATCTGCAGCAACTGTCCCCCAGACCTAAGCCAGTTAGTCCAAATGGCTGCCCCTGACACACCAGGCCCTGTGCCCGGCCTGCGCCCCCTCTCACCCTCCTCCCAGCACTGTCCTGTGCAGTCCGGGAAGACCTCCTCTGTCTGTGAAACCTGAGGCCCTTCACTTCCTCACTGACCCACACCCTCTCTTGGCCTGGAACATTCTTCTCTCTTCCTGTTTTGCTCAACTCTCAGCCACAGCCTTGTCTGTCACCTCCTGACAACCTATCCAGCATCGTGCTGGCAGGTGCCCTTATCATGCCACCTCCAACTCAGCCCTGATGGCTGTCCTGCTTTGTCCTTTCTGTGGGACACAGGTCCTAATCTGTCTGTGGGGCTGTGGACCCACCACTCAGCACACAGCTTGAATAATAAATTTCATTGTATGAACTATCTGTCACAAGCACTAAATTCCAAGCAGAAATTTCACAAAGAAAGCAGATCATGACATAGAAGTTTGTAACTCCTGGTTTTCACATCTATTGATCCTGACCCCTGCTGACTCTGGGAGAGTAGAGAGAGCCCGTAAATCAGCAGACATGGGTGGGCGGTGGCTGCGTGGCCCTGATCCCTGAGGCTACCTGGCATTATTTCTTACTGAGACAAACTATTTGCCAGGCCCTCCCACACCCACACTGTGCCTGGCTCCCCCAGGCTCCACGCTGCAGCTCTGGCCTCCTCACCAATAATGGCCTCCTTCAGGCTGGTCTCCACGGGCAGGATGTTCTTCTCCACCAGCTCCATTGGGCCGGGTCTCTGTGCGATCTTCTCATTGAGGTCATCGGCCAGCCTGGCCCGCTTCAGCTTCAGCTGTTTGGCCTGGAGTGAAGGCTCAGCCGAGGTCTCTGTCATGAGAGAGATGTGTGTGGACCTGGTTCTGCCTTGGGGATTCTGAGCAACTCTCTTCCTTCCCTGGAGGCCCTGAGGCGGTCAGAGTGGAAAGTACACCCCAGGTGGAGAAGAGGGGCTTGAGCTGAAGTTTCACGAGGACGAGGGAGAAGTCAGCCATGGGAAGCCGTTGGCACAGTGGCCTCAGGACGTTCTGCGGTGGCCCTGTGATGCTGAGTAAGCAGCACACTGTGGAGCGGCCTCCACTCTGCCCTGAATCTGCAGTTGGTGGAGGTGATACACCACCTGCTCTGGGTTTCAGTGTCTCCATCTGCACAGTGGGCGCTCAGACTAGGAAAGTTCCCTCCAAGCCACCAAACCCTCAAAACTAAGCCAAAAAAATGAATGGATCCATGCTATGCTCAGGAGTCAGACTTCTCCTGGAGTAGAAATGTAGGAAGATTGTAAGGCTGGGTTCAGGGACACGGGACCCTATTTCACAGGTGTAAAAAATCCCAAGTGAATTAATGAGTGAACAAATTTTAAAAAATAAGCACACTATCTTGTTCATGCTTTATGTTGTATATTTTTATGAGCTTTGACAAATGCTCCACATTATAGATCCACTGTAAATAAATGCACTGAGATAGACTGAAAAGGAGAAAAAGGAACTACCCTGGAAGAAAGAACAGGTTTCAAAGCAAGGATTGATATAGTCCAGGGTCACCAAATGGCCTTAGGAGAAAAGGGCAATCCAACCCAGAGTCACGGGTCAATGCTATGGTGGACAGTGTTTGGTGGAGTTTCCTGATTAAAACAAGCCTGGAAGCAGGAATAGCATCCACCTCTGAAATGGCTTGCCTCTCGAAACTCTATGAATGTGGAGAAATGATGACAGTTATACAAGTGTTCAGGTCTTTCATTCATAGGGTCGCTATGAGTTGTCTACTACTCGACGGCACTTAACACCACCAGCACCAGGGGGACCACAGCACTGCTGATGGCTGTGTTAACACTTTGGCTATCTCCACTGCCACCAGCAGTGAAGCTGTTAAAAAGGGAGGAAAAATGGTGGGTGGTGTATTATGAAAATGGTGTGGACAAGAATTTACATGAAGAAGCATTTTCAATCTAACACACCTTCCAAAATGTGCATCCTGACCAGCTCCGATCTCTCTGGCCGGGAACGAATCTTCCGCTTCAGATAGTCCTCTGTCTGTGGACAAAGCACAGCAAGCAGCTCTCAGATCCAAGTTCCCAGCATGTAACATGGACAGGGCCACTGAGGCAGCTTTGCTGTGGTAGTTGCTGCCGGCCACCTCTGTACCCTACAGCCTGGCCACTGAGTCCTAAAGCAGGAAGGGCACACCAGCTTCCAACAGGACCATCTGAAGCACCATCCATCTTTCAAAGCCATTGGTCTCTCTGAGCTGGACTGCTACTCTGTGTAAACATCCAGAATTTCCCTATCCTACAGGTACCGTTATGGGTCTCAAAGACTGTTGTTGTTGTTGTTGTGTACTATAGAGTTGGTACCAACCGACAGCTGATCCTCCGGTGGGTTTTCAGAGACAGTTAATCGCACGAGAGGAAACTGCTCATCCTTCTCCTGCAGAACAGCTGGTGACCCCGAACCGTGTGCCTTCGGGATTGAAGCACAGCTACTTGGCTCCCTCAGAGAATATTAGATAGTTTAAAAAACTCTATTTCTAAATCATTCAGTTAGTGTTTGGAATATCTGTGTCTAGCCATTATTCTATGCAAGAGATACTTTTATTTTTGGCAATGTTGTAATCCTACTGAATATGATGATATCTTGGTCTCAAAAATGTCCTAATTCTTGACCTCATGAGTATTTTTCACTTTTTGAAAAGCTACCAGATGGAACACTAATTTTGAAACTAATTTGGCTTTAGTTCCCTCAAGTTGAATGTCCTTGTTTCTGCATTTAAGAGACCCCAGATGAAGGATACCACCCCTTTCCCAGTCACAGAACCACTGCTGATTGGCCCAGGATGATGCTGGGGGGTATCTACACCAGAGTCTGTGCTCGTAAGCTCTGTACCAGCATTGCTCTAATGGGTCAAGATCAGTACAGGAAAGAAGATTTCTGATACAGTTGATGGGCAGGGCTGGGCCACACCCTGGCCTCCCGCCACTGTGGGACCCGGGTGGGCAGGTTTGTATAGTCTGGACGTCTGAGCTTTCCAGGAAGTGTTTTTTTTATTTTTTAAATTTTATTTATTTATTTTTTTGTGTGTGTGTGTACCGTCAAGTCAGATCTGACTGGTACAGGGGGAGATTGCCCCTCCTTCTCCAGCAGAGCATCTGGTGGATTCAAACTGTGCACCTCTGGGACTGCAGTGCAGCTTCCTGCCACTAGGCCACCAGAGCTCCCTACCAGGAGGTGTTTTAAAGCAACTGTGGGTGATGATTATCCCACCCCGGTTTGTAGTGGGTAGCAGTTACTGCCTGTCTGACAAAGACCCATTTTCTAAGCTATCTGAAGCTCTGAATGGTGGCCAAGGCTCCAGAAGAATAAAGAAAGAATAATTTAAGAAAACAGCTGTAGTCTAGAGACTAAAGATTTGACTCTTAGTGTTGCTACTTTTTAGATGAACATGTTAATTCACCTCTTTGATGGCCTAGTGGTAAGAAGCTGTGCTGCAATCCCAAAGGCATGTAGTTCTAATCTACCAGCTGCTCCACAGGAGTAAAGTGGGTAATCTCCTCCTGTGCCATTAACTGCCTCTGAAAACCTGCTGGAGGGTCAGCTATGGGTCAGGGTCAGTTCTGACTTGAGAGTACACAACTACAAAATAAATATAATAGCACCTAATTCATCAGAAATTGATCAAACATGCAATCAAGATGCATTAGTAATAATGGGCGACTGGAATGCAAAAGTTGGGAACAGGGAAGAAGGATCAGTAGCTGGAAAACATGGGCTCAGTGAGAAAAATGAGGCTGGAGATAGAATGACAGGAGTTCTGCACATTCAATGATTTATTCATTGCAAACGCCTTTTATAAGAAACATAAATGCAGGCTATACACATGATCTCACCTGATGGTATGCATAGGAATCAAATAGATTACATTTCTGGAAAGATTCGCTGGAGAAGCTCAATATCAGCAGTGAAAACCAGGCTGGGTGCTGATTGTGGGACCGACCACCAACTACTCATATGCAAATTCAAGCTGAAGGTGAGGAAAATTAAGTCAAGTCCACGGGAACCAAGATTTGACCTTAAGTCTGTCCCACTTGAATGTCAAAACCATCTCAGGAACAGGTTTGAGGCCTTGAGCATCAATGAGCGTAGACCAAATGAGCTTTGGGAGGATATCAAGAAAATCGTCCATGAAGAATGCGAAAGATCATTACAAAGGCTAAAGAAGAAAAGACCAAGAGGGATGTCAGATGAGACTGAGTATTGCATTAGAGCGCTGAGAAGCCAAAGCTAAAGGAAGAAATCAAAGAGCTGAATAGAAAATTTCAAAAGGTAGCTCAGGACAACAAAGCAAGATACTATAATGAAATGTGCAGAGAGCTGGAGTCAGAAAATCAAAAGGGCCGGACTCGCTCAGTGTTTCTTAAGCTGAAGGAGCTGAAAAACAAATTCAAGCCACAGTGGCAATACTTAAAGATAGTTTGGGGAGAATGTTGAATGATCCAGGATGTATAAAAAGATGGAAGGAGTACACGGAGTCACTGTATCAGAAGGAATTGGCTGACACAAAGGAATTTCATGAAATAACATAGGAGCAAGAACCTATGGTGATAAAGGAGGAAGTTCAAGTTGCTCTGAAGGAATTGGCAAAAAACAAGGCTCCAGAAGTTGACTGCATACCAATTGATTTATTTCAACAACAAACAGACGCTGCCCTGGAGGTGCTCACTAAGTTGTGCCAGGAAATCTGGAGGACAGCCAGCTGGCCAACTGACTGGAAGAGATCGATGTTTGTCCCAATTCCAAAGAAAGGTGACCCAACAGAGTGTGGAAATCATCAAACAATATCATTACTATTACATGCAAGCAAGATTCTGCTGAAAATTATACAAAAACGTTTGGAACAATATGTCAACAGAGAACTGCCAGATGTGCAGGCTGGATTTAGAAGAGGTCATAGTACTAGGGATATTATAGCTAATGTAAGATGAATCTTGGCAGAAAGCAGAGAATACCAGGAGAATGTCTATCTGTGCTTCATTGACTATGCAAAAGCTTTTGACTGTGTGGATCACAAAAGCTATGGCTGACTCTGAGAAGACTGGGAATCCCAGAACATTTGATTGTGCTTATGTGAAACCTATACTTGGACCAAGAAGCAGTCATCAGAACAGAGAAGGGAGACACTGGATGGTTCAAAATCAAGAAAGGGGTTCGTCAGGGATGTATTTTGTCTCCATACCTTTTTAATCTGTATGCAGAACAGATCATCCGAGACGCTGGGCTGTACGAGGAGGAACGTGGCATCAAGATTGGCGGAAGAGTCATCAACAACCTGCGTTATGCAGATGACACAACCCTGCTCGCTGAAACTGAGGAGGATCTGAAGCGCTTGCTGCAGAAGGTCAAGGACTGCAGCCTTCAATACGGATTGAAGCTCAGTATCAAGAAACCAAAGATTCTCACCATTGGGCCAATTGGCAGCATCAGTATGGATGGTGAAGAGACTGAGATAGTTAACAGTTTTAGTTTGCTTGGCTCCACAGTCAATACTCTTGGTAACAGCAGCCAGGAAATCAGGAGACGAATTGCACTGGGAAAGTCAGCTGTGAGGGACCTCTCAAGAGTACTGAAGTGCAATGATGTCAGGCTGGAGACTAAGGTGTGCCTGATCCAGGCTATAGTCTTTGCAATTGTGTTCTATGTATCAGGGAGTTGGTTAGTGAATAGGGTTGATAGAAAGAGAATTGATGCCTTTGAGTTGTGGTGCTTGAGAAGAGTTTTGAATATACCATGGACTGCTAGGAGAACAAACAGGTTTGTCCTGGAGAGGGTGAAGCCAGAATGTTCCCTGGAGTCAAGGATTCTGAAGCTTCATTTGACATACTTTGGGCATGTTGCAAGGAGGGACTGGTCCTTGGAGAAGGACATCATGTTTGGCAGAATGCAGGGACAGCGCCGGAGAGGAAGACCCTCGATGAGATGGATCGATTCTGTGAGTGGAGTGGTGGGAATGAATGTGTTTGAGACAGTGAGGTTGGCACAGGATAGAACGGTGTTTAGGGCTCTTGTACATAGGGTTGCTATGAGTTGCAAGCGACTCGATGGCACATAACAACAACAAATTCATAAGAGCAAATGTGAGGCTATAAAAGAAATGGATCTAACTAACATAAAAGGGCTTACTAAAATAGCAGCTGTTTTAATTAGTTACTATTTACTCCCTTCTCCTGGAGAAGTAGTTGAGGAAACGGTGGCAAACCTTAGTCAGGTCAGGACAGCACAGGTGTGGCCATACCACGCTCCCTGCTGCGTTCTCCAGCCCACTCCACACTCACACGGTGTCAGCAGTTACGGCCTTAGCACCTAGTACCCATGACCTCATTTCCCCAACTCTATCTAGGCATTTATCATGATTTTCTAAAAAGTTTTTCAAATAAACAGAACTTCTTCTTAAGAATAAAAAGAGAATCTATGGACTGGGAAAATTTTTTGAGCAATGATGTATCTGGCAAGGGACTAATCTCTAAAATTTATAGAAAATGTTAACACTTCAACAACAAAAGTACACCCATTTTAAAATGTCAAAGGACATAGACAGACACTTCACCAAAGAAGACATTCGAGTGGCCACCAAACAGATGAAAGATGCTCACAATCATTTGCTTTTGTTGTTGCCAGGTGTCACTGAGTCAGCTCCAACCCTTGGTGACCCCTGCGTAAAACAGAAAGAAACACTGCCTAGTCCTGCCCATCTGAAGTCTCTTCACGTACGCCAACAACTGTGGCAGCCACTATACTATGCCAATCCACCTCATTAAAGATCATCTTTCTCTTTCTTAAGACTCTCTATCAAGCATACGGTCGATCTCCGAGGCCTGGAACCCAGTGGATAACATGCCCAAAGTAGGTGAAACAGTCTCACCATCCCAGCTTCTACGGGGACACCAGCTGTACTTCTACAAAGACAGACACCTGTTCTTTCTGCAGTCTGAGATGTAGTCACTCGCTCACTGCATCAAGTCTGTTCCAACTCATAGCAACCC